AAAAAAGTTACAATAATTTTAAACATAATGAAAAGTAAGAATAATTATAATAATATAATATTGTAATGTAAATAATTATATTAGTAATATAAAATTTTAATTAATTATTATTTTACAAATAGCTACGGAAAATAACTATAAATTAAAAAATAAATTGGTAATTTAAACAAGTGAGAACAAACATAAAAGTAGTATAATTTGGCGTAAAATAGTTATGAAGTGTCTTAACACATTAAAAAAGAGTTATGATAATTTGTTAATATAATGGAAAGTAAAAACAACCATTAGAAGATATTATTGTAAAGTAAATAATTATATTGACAATGTAAAATTTTAATTAATTATTATTCCTCTAAATATATTGGAAAAATAGCTAAAATTTAAAAAATAAAATTAATAACATAAACAAGGAAGAAGTAAAGTAAAATTAGTATCATTTTGAGTAAAATGGATTAGAAGTATTGTAACATGTTAAAAAAAAGTTATAACAATTCTAAACATAATCAAAAGTAAGAGCAACCGTAAAAGTATACTATTATAATGTAAATAATTATGATAATAATATAAAATTTTAATTAATTATTTTTTTTTGCAAGTATATTACAAAAACTAAAATTTTTAAAACAAATAGGTAATGTAAATAAGTAAAAAAAAATGTAAAAATGGTATCATTTGGTGTAAAATGGGTAAAAAATGTCATAATAGACAAAAAAGAATTATGGCAATTCTAAAATTGTTGAAATGTAAGAACAATCTTACAAAAATATTATTATAATATAAATAATTAAGTAGGTAACAAAAATTTTAATTAATTATTGTTTTTATAGATATATAATAAAAATATCCAATAATAATAAAAATATTTGGCAACTTAAACATGTAAGAAAAAAATGTAAAAGTTGTATCATTTAATGTAAAATATGTAAAAATTTATTAATATAATAAAAAAAGAGTTATGATAATTTTAAACATAATGAAAAGTAAGAACAATTATAAGAAAACGTTATTGTAATGTAAATAATTAAATCAATAATGTAAAATTTTAATTAATTATTATTTTTATAAATATGTAAGAAAAATAGGTAATAAATAATAAAAATTTTACTAATGTAAATAAGTGGAAGGAATAGTAAAATTTTTCTTATATTTGGAAGACATTATTATACCATTTTTAGTCTTAAAAATTTATTAACATAAATATTTATGTAATAATTTTATTTTCCATTACGTAGTAAAAATATTTGTGTAGTAGTAAAAAATATCACATTTTGATTCAAAGTATCTATGAAAGAAAAATCATACAATTAAAATGGTACAATGGTAACTTTTTATTAGTTTTGAATTAATCCTTATCTTAAAATGCTAAAACATTAAGTTAAATAAGTTGATTAAGATTTTGAAAAAGATTTATTTAGTATATATTCTTAAGTTTTATTATTTTTGGTATTAAATAAATAATATATTTTTCAAAGTGATATTTGATTTGAAAAATATCTTAAAAGTTGTAAGATATTGGTGTTGTTTATATTAAAAATACAAATTTTCAAGATTGATAATTCTTTGTAAAATATTTTTTAAAGTTTTAATAAATTGTTTTTTATGTTTTTGTATTTCTCAAATCCAAATTATCTTTAAAAATTATTTATTTAAGCTTAAATGAAAGTCTAATTGTTGTTTTTAAAGTGAATTTATTAATCTTGGATTTAGTATAATTTTGATAATATTTGTTTTGAAAAATAAATTAACTTAAGAAAGTTGTTTTGTAATAACAAAATTTTTTAACATTAAATTTGTTTTATTTTTCTATATTGATTTACAAAGTTTTAAGTTTGAATTTTATATGGATGAAAAGTTTTTTAAGTCTACTTTCTAATGGATCAAATAAAATCAAATTTCAAATTTTTTAAAAAAAGATTTTGAATTTTTGTTAGAGATTATGCAAGTTATCTAACAACTGTATAAGGGGTAATTTTGAAAATTCACTATAATTTTTATATATTGAATCGGATAATGAATTTTATATGGATAAAAATCTTCTTAAGTCTAATTTCTAAATATTTAAATGGATCGTGATTTGGAGTTAGATAACTCAATATATGATTAAATTAATAAGTATAGTACAAAACAAAATTTAGTTTTACAACTTCAAAGTGCACTATTCATCCAAAATGACCTTGTATGTAAAATCAATTTAACCAGATCGATTTTCTATCAAAATAGATTGATCCGTTCTCTTGTAATGATTAAATTTTGAATGAAATTCAAGAATCAATTGATCTTTTAATAGACCAATTGATCTGTTAATGGACTTGATTGATCATTTATTTCTAATAACTTTTAATGACTACTTTAAAAGGAGAAAAGTATGCATTTTCATTTCCCACTATTTTCCAAGATCTAAAAGCTCATTTTTTTCTATAAGGGGGCATTCCAACACACTTGTGAAGTAAAAGAGCAAACATCAACAAGCCTTACATTTATCTTCTAAAGAATTCTAAAGTATTTTAAATATTAGAGCTTTAATTTTTTTTCATTTTTATATTCAAAGTATATTTATTTTTCATTTATCACTTTTTGTATGTAAATTAAGCAAACACTTAATTTTTGAAAGGTATTTTATGGTTTGCAAATTTTTTTTTATTCAAAAGGGATTTTTGAGTTAAGGGATAAGGTATTCACTTAAGTGAAATTAATAGGATTTGGTAGAATCTTAGAAAAGAGTAGAGGTTGTTATATTGACCTTGAAATATAAGGATTGTATTTTGTAAGAGATTTTTTCAATTAGCGGATTGAGTTTGGCTAGAAGAGCTAAGAAAGAGGATGTAAGTACCTTAAAAAAATGATCAAACTTTTATAAATTTTTGTATTTAATTTTTCTATCTTTACCTTTTAATTTATTCTTATTTATATGTGCTTTAATTTTTTTTTATTATTGTTAATGTTATTAAATTTTCATCTAATATTTTATTCTTTTAAATTTTCATTTAAATTTATTGAAGGTCAATTTTGGGAAAGAATTTGACGATAATTCAATTCACTCCCTTCTTGTATTGTTATCTACACTTAAGGTAACACTTTAATTTTTACGATTTATGTTAATAAAATTTTAGGACTAGAAAGACAAATCATACAAATAAAATCATAAAATATATAACACAAATAACTAAAAAATAATTTTAAAATTGAAAAAGACAACATAAAATGATTGATATTTTAAAATTAACAAAATAAAAAACTATTAAGATGAATACTAAAATTTCTATTAATTATTGTTGTAGAATTGTTATTTGTTAATATTGAAGAAATAACAAAATATTATTTATTAAAATAATATGTCATAACTATATTTGAATTTTTATTTTAACATCATTGTTTATAAAAATAGATGAAAATAAATATAAAATATGTAATTTATAATATTTTTTATTTGTTAGATAAATAAAATTATTTTTATATTTTTGGTTGACTTGTTAATTTGTTCTACCATTTTTAATACTTTTTTAATTTCTTATGAGATACCTTAAAAAAAAATTCAATAAATTGTGATCTTACTATAAACAAACCCACTAGTCAAGCTTAGTTAGTAGGGATGTGAACGACTAGGATATTCATAATTTTTTAGGTATCTGAATTCAAATTTGATTGTTTATCAAGATACTTGAATCTGATAATTATTAGAATATTTTTATTTTTTGCTATCCGAATTTTACTCATATAATATAGAAATAAATACTAATTATCCGAACCCGTTAAATTTTCATTTATTAAGTCAAAGTTTGACTTTCAAATACATATTATTAAAATTTTTTAAATTAATAAATTAAAATTAAAAATCATAATTAAGATATTTAATGAATTAATTTAGTTAAGTATTATATTAATAATTAATTTATAAATAATATATATATAGTATTAAAAATATATTATTTATAATTAGATTAGGATAGTGAGCACCCTAATTTCATTACCCAAATCCTATTTGAACCTGGATGGGTTGTAATTATACTACCCGAATCCAATTATAGGATACTCTAATCCTATTTAATCGGGTTGGATTGTTCCAGGTACCTGTGTATATGGTATCCATTGCCATTTTTATTAAATCGTGAGAGAAAATTTAAATGAAGTTTTTTAGATAAAGTTTGTGAAATTTTTTTAACAAACATTTTAATAAAAATTTTGATAAAAATTTAAATTGATAAATTGATAAAATTTAATATAAAAATTAATAATATGTAAAACACTTATTAAAAATATAGTGTGTAATTCAAATGTGATAAGCACTTATTAAAGAGTAAAAATTATATCAAAATTTTTCTTTAAAATGTTTATTTAAAAAAATCAAAATTTTTTGTTTCAAAATTTACGCATTTGATTTATATAACAAGATATTTTAATTTATTCATTTTAATTTTTGATTTTAATTTTTTAAATTATTTTTACTAAAAACCTTTACAAAATTCACTTGAATAACTTCATAAATCTTTCTTGGCCCGTGACAGAAAGTCATTATTTTTTTTTCTAAAAAATATCATCATTTTGATAAATTAATAAATTATGAATAAAGTGATTCATTATATAAATAAATATAATCCAATAGTATTTAACTCTGTTATATATATATATATTTAAAAAATAGTTTGAAATAAAAGAAAAAGAATGTAAGTATTGAAATTTAAATTTTATGATCTTAATTTCATATATACAATTATATATATATATATATGTTTGCAGAATCATTATTGCGATTCACATACATGAGATACACAATTCATGACTGGTTTCACATTAATGAGATTCACAAGTCCTGACAGATCCGAAATAATTCTTTTGATTATTTAACCAATATTTAAAAAAAAAAAAAAAAAAAACCTTATTTCTGCTGTGGTTCCAATTAAGCAACGGGAATCACATTCTACTGTGGCGTGAGGACATAAAACTTGCATGCATGGGATTCAACAGTTCGCTTAATTTGATATTTGACAGAGTTCGTAGTTGAATGCTGCCAGAATATCAAACAACTTTGATATTAGCTTGGACTACATGTACGTCAAAGAAATCAAAGTTTTGAGCCCAAAAAAAAGCAACTGTAGCTTTACATACCGCCCACAAATCTCGAGCATCAACTACTGTAGATGAGTTGAGCCCAATGTCATCCCATTTTGCAGTTATGGTAGCACTCGATAAACCTCTGTTTAATAAGATTAAGGCAACTCTGTTCTCAGTTAAAGGACCAGCCCATACCTTTACATATAACACATGGCAGAAGAAAGCAGTTAAGGCGTGTGAAATTTGATGCTTCAATGTCAAATAAATGAAAAACTCTAGCCTCCAGATCTCCAGTCTTTCTGACCTTCTTCCCTTGAACCCCCAGCTTATCTGTTAAATGAACAGTACCAGAAAAGGTGATATAGCTTTCATTTCTTGTCCAGAATCCAGATTGATGCGTTTTACAGCATGAATGTGAACGTACTAAAAGAAAAATGAGATGGATGATTATATTGGTTACCTTGATTAACAGCTATAACCTCCTTGTTGCTAAGCAATTCGAATGTGTCATCATCCATGGAACGGATATCGCACCCAAGAATAAGTGGAGCCTATACCATCATAGTCAAATGATATTCATTAAGGATTGCACTGTTTGATTTTGAGATTTGTGGGAATGAATCATAAATTCAAGGACCTTAGCTAAAGCCCATAAGCTGAAGTGAGAGCGGTATTCTTCTGTTGACATTCCTCCATTGCCTACCTCAAGCATGTCTGGGTCTAAGATTTAGAAGCCAAGAGAAAAATGTACAGCATTGTTTTGATTTGTTTACTCAAGTCAAATAATCAATCGTCACTAGCTGGTATCTAAGAACAAGATCGGTCTAACCATACCATTCCATCCTCCAGGTCCAGCATAAGAAGTCCATTTATCATTAATATCAGCACGCGATATCATACTAGCAAAAGAGAGTAGTTGTCTCATAAATCACAATGTTATGGGAAGATTAGCATTTGTTCACTAATAGCTTGAATTCTCATTAATTTCAGGTGTATATTTCATATATACTGTCCTTTTACCTCTCCCAAGTATCCTTGATGTCTCCAGTTGTTCTCCAACTATTCCCAATGCTAGGTGCCCAAGTTGCTGGGTCTTCGAAGCCCCTATAAATGATTATATATCTTATACATGTTGTCTGCAATGGAAAAGGAATTTGGTAGAACCAGGAAAAAAATGGAAAGGAAGGAATTAGACAAATAGTCATACCATTCGCAAAGAGAGTAGAAGATAGGTCTACCGGTGTTTAGAAGAGCTTTGCCCATCTTTGAATATCTGTCACCAAGGAATCATTAACAAATTCTCACTATAATAAACAGATGGTAGAATTTCTTTTCATCTTTAGTATACCTTTCCTGTGGGCTCACTCCTTGGTTGTGGCAATTGTCATATTTTAGATAGTCAATACCCTGAAAAACGAGCCAAGCAAGATTAACCTGAACCTCGTCTCATACAATGGTGCAAAATGAAGAACTAATCAACACACAGAAACTTGGATGTGTAACAGACCAAAAAACAAATTGTAAATTAACTTGGAATAATATTAACTCTGGAGTCAGGACAGAAGATTAATAGGTATGGTCCATCCGGGATCTTTAAGAGGCAGATCCACGTACATAGGTAAAGTGTGCATTGACACTCCAAATATTGGAAAATAAGAAAATTTGAAAGAAAATTTTTCCTTAGACAACTCTAGAAATTTTTTCCTAGACATCATTTCCGATAAAATTAATAAATTTGTTGGCAGTTTATATATATATATATATATATATATATATATATATGTGGACACCTTGAAAAAATCCTGGATCCCTCGGAGCTTAAATATGCAGCAATTGTTAATAACATACCCAAGAAGCAAAGATGTTAGCATCTTGTTGCTCATGACCAAGAGACCCTGGCATTTGCTTGCTGCACGTTAAAGTCCTGAAAAAACAAATCAGGATTTAGGGGCTAATAAATATAAGGAATAGCTTTTGGTACCAAAGAACGTTTTAGCATTGTAGTTGAGTATTGATAGATGTAGCTTGATACCCAGCATCAGCATAAATCCCGATCTTAAGCCCCTTGCTGTGGACGTAATCTGCCAGTGCCTTCATCCCAGAGGGAAAAAGAGAAGCTTTTGCCACTAAGTTGCCCTGTTAGCAAAGATTACATGCAGCATTTTTGGACATTAATTTGCTTAGACGTTTGATAAATTCATGTTACATGCAAACACGTACAACAACTAGCTAGCAGTGTTACAGCAAACTTTCTGCAAGAGCGCTAGCAAGACGAAATCGTCTAGGCTCGGGAAAAATCAAACCTCCAGAGACTGGAACAAATTAAGAAAGAAACCAAGGAAAGCTTCAATATCTTAGGTCCAGAAGTTTCAAGTTTCATCTAACTTCATCAAACGAAGTCTTAGGTCTCCAGCAATTTAGTTTAAGTATTTAAAACATAAAGATGCAATGATTGACAAAAAAATATTGGCATAGACATAGCTGATAAATTGAAAACAATAGATAATAGATTCATCAGTCTCAAGGAATCCCAATTGATAAGAAGTTCTGTAGTTAAAATTTATACCTCAGAGTCTCTATTCAATTCAGCCCAACAATCATCTGGTCACGCTCAAACAAATTTAAGAAAATCAAGAATTTTGTAGGGACATAGTCATCATAAAAAAAAAAAAAAAAAACTTATTGGGTCAATCAGACTTTACTGTTCAAAGCAATAGAGAACTTACCTAGATTAATATACTCATATCCAAGGGCTGACAGTCCACTAGAAACCATAGCATCAGCTGCATAAGAAATTGAGTTATTCAACTAAACAGTCAAAATTTAGGGAAATGGTAAAAGTAATAACTCATATTTGGCAGAAATGTCAAGCCTTCCCTAGAAACACTTCTTATTTCTTACCTGTCTGCCGAATTAGCTCCTCAGTAATCTTGCAGGGGAAATGATTATAACTGTTCCATCTGCAGTGAACACAAATCAGTAAAATAGCAACACAGGAAATGCAGCCACTCAAATTTAAATGAGCATGACTAAATAATCACCAAAAGTACAAATGAAATCTTTTGCTAAGAGTATAAAGGGAATTTTAACTAAGTTAACTGAAATAGCACCCAAATAAAGTATGTACTGGCTTCTGCATTGTATTAAGTATGCCTAGAGCGCCCTGAATTTGCTATAATTGTTTTTGTTATATTTTTATTTTTTACAAAATGTCCCCTTCAGAAACTAAACATTCATCCGCACTTCATTGTCAAATGATACTAAAAAAAGGAACATGGTGGACACATATTTGATGAAGTTAGACAGAATATGCTCACCCCATTTGAGGAGTGTGACCAAGACCATTATTAAGCAGATTTCTTCTTGGCACTTGAGCTACATCAAGTTTCCTTGGACGAGCACCATGGCTTACGGCTACAGTCAAAATGGCGAATAATACGAATGCAGCGGGAGTAGGTATCCAACCATAAGCCATCGGGTGCTGCCTTGGTTTGTTTGAAGCAAAAGCTATGAACAAATATTCAGGAATCTTAGTGTGTATATGTATGCATGTGTGTATATATGTATATGTAGTGAAGCTCTGTGTTAACAGAATAGCATAGAAAAGTATTATCTGATGCCGCCGGGGAAAGCGACTTAGAAAGCTTCCACTTTGGAATCATCCTACATAATCCAAATTTCATAGCCGGTTTAATGCGAGCATATCAGCTTTGGTTCTAAATGGTATCTGATGGGCAATCAAGCAGCTTGAGTGTTGTTATTGCAGAATGTAGACGTTTTAACCAAGGTCATTGAGCGGAATGAATCATTTACTAATTTAATATACCTAACATTACCGAATCACAGTATCAACATGGTTGTTGTTATTTGAAGATTGAATGATGTCAAAAAGAAATTAACCATGGATTCATCGTAACCATAATTTTGTCAACAAGTGTGCTACATGATAGGAAATGCTGGTGCCAGCTGCATGCAATAAGAATTTTCTATTAGGAAAAACAAGCGCTAATTCGGATGGTACTCAAGCTTATAATTTCTACTTGTGAAATTCCAGGTTCAACTTTGATAGTTGAGTTTGAATCTGAGTAACATCTTGATTATTTTTGTGTTTGTGGAGCTGAAGTTTGAGTGAATTTTAAGGGGTATAGAGTATTTTCATTGTTCTGGAAAGTCCCATGGGTATGTAGTAGTCAATTGTTTTTCTAGTTACCCTTCGGGTTTGGTTTGGGCCAAAAAATAAAAAATAAAAAAAAACCCTTTTTTTTGTTGCTTCTGGTTCTGGACAGCCACGACCTTTAAAATCTGAAATCAAAATCTACCATGTTTCCAATCCCTAGGTCCCTGCATTTTCCTACTGTCTAGAAATATCATTGTTAGGTGACGAGCAATTCCAACTTCCTCAAGTCCTTAACGGGCTCTAGTCTGAGCCTTGTGACCTGTTTCCCTAGGGATATTGAAACCCACATAGTGCCCAGATTTTACGTTTGTAGACATTACTAGGCTTCCTCAGCTTAGAAAGCAGAATTTACCTTCAACATGATGATGTCTAGCTTCAAGTTCCATGAGGCTTAAATTGAACCTTTTGATGAGGACAACCCTCAATTATTTCCTCTCAGGACTTGAGAGTTGAACTGTTAAGCTTTAAGTTATTAGGTCATGTAGGTATAAAGAGCTTATATAATGAAACATTTGTTGCTAAGATAATATTATGTTTCTTTTAGAAAGCGTGAAAAGAGATTTAAGATAAATAAGAACATTGAATGAATTTATCACTACATATTTACAGATGAAGGTAGACTAAATTAGGCTTAGCAATACAACTCAAATTTTTTTGTTAAGATTTACAAAGCACCAAAATAATACTAATTCAATTTTAGCAAAAATCTTACATGAGTTTGGCTAAAATTAAAATATTTTGTGTTTGAAGTATGAGTGATACAATAATTTTCGTATTTTATATGCGTTTGACATAAGATAAAACAAATATAAATACATGATTTGCAAGTCTAAACTAAATTCATGCTTAATGATTATCATATTCATATAAAATCTGTTAAGTTTTTCATGAAATTGCATCATTATTCATTCCATTCCTTTTTTGTTGTGGAAATTCACGGAAGACATAAGCACATGCACAGTCGCTACATTCCTGCTGCTGCTATCAATCCACTCTCCATCGAAATGTCCCTTTTTTCAATGCTGAACTGTTGTATGTGGTGTCAGAGTATACATTTTACAAGCATGAGAATCCACTTCAGCAGAAATCTGGTCTTGAACCGATGTCTCTGTTGAATGCTGTTCATTTCAAGAAGTTTAGGACAAATAAACGAAAACAAGAAGAACTTATACAACAACAAAAACTAAAAGTCTGTTGTTTAGGGTGAATGGAATCTCACTGCCCACAAGTCTTGAGCATCAACAATAGTTGATGGCTTAAGGCCTATATCAGACCAATAAGCGGTGATGTTTGCAAGGGAAGATCCCCTGTTCCATAAGACCATAGCTACCTTTTTGTTAGCAAAAGGGCCAGCCCATACCTACATTATCAATTCAATGTAAGAAAATCATTTCTGAGAATTGTGGGGGGAAACCAAAGAATACTATTTCCTGACAAACTTCTGCAAATATGGAAAATATTGAAGCAAACATGAATTCATAAATGCAAATGAAATTACCTCAAGATCTCCATCTTTCTTCACTTTTTTACCCTGGACTCCAAGTTTATCTGCTAAGTTCAAAGAGGTAAAAAATTCATGTTTTTTCCATAACTTTTTTTTTCCCTTTTTCAGGTGGCTAAACATAGTAGATTAGAATAAGTTATTTCCCCACTCATATTTCTAAACTACCCATGAGTTACAAACTTTTGCTTATTTTACCTTGATTGACTACAATAACCTCCTTATTGCTTAGCAATTCAAATGTCACATTATCCATAGACCTAATGTCGCAACCAATCAACAGCGGAGCCTGCAAAATGGCATACACAGAAACGAAATATGAAGGTCGATGGCATTGATATGTGCATGAATATAGAAATTTGGAATAGTGTACTTTAGCCAATGCCCATATGCTGAAATGGCAGCGATATTCCTCCGTTGTCATGCCACCGTTTCCTACTTCAAGCATGTCGGGATCTGATTCACAGCATTTAATTTTTGGCAAAGTCAGATAAATTTATTTCGCACTAGTTCGGACTATGTAGTTAGGAGATTGAACTAATGCTGTAACACTACATAACTCTCTCACATCTAGACATTGGTGCTTATACCCTTTCTAAGGATGTCACGTTCGATTACACTTACATGTGAACAGAACTTGTTCAAGTGGTATTATATCAAATTTTAAGTATTTAATTTATTGTGGTCTTATATTTAAGATGGCTTCTCCTCTTATTGTTAATTAGTTTTAGATTAAATGCTTAATAATTTAATATGTAGTAGTACGTCGTTTATGAAAGTACTTCTATTCATAGTTCATACCATTCCAAGCTCCAGGTTGAGCATACGAAGCCCACTTGTCATTTCGATCTGCTATGGATGTCATGCTAAAACACAAGAATTCCATCAGTCCCTCAAAAACATAATTATGTTGCAAATTCCAGAATAATTCAATTACTAATGGCTGCATGGTCCAGATGATGCAAAATCCTAAAAACATGTAGTAAAATATTGCAATCGGCTGGGTAATACATACCTCTCCCATGAATCTTTAATATCGCCGGTTGTTCTCCAGCTATTTCCTATACCTGGTGCCCAAGTTGCAGGATCTTCTTGTCCCCTGTATGTTTTAAACTTGGTGAACCATTAATTTCCCGGTTTCCCTCTAGCTAAAGAAGATATTCACTTACCATTCACATAAAGAGAAAAATATGGGCCTCCCTGAGTCAAGTAATGCTTTGCTCATCTTCCGGTACCTACCGACCAAATAATTTCAATATCCCAAGCAAAAGAAACCGTCATTGATTAGCACAAGTGGAAAACCCTGTTTCCGACCCCCTTATCATCAGATCAAGTAAACTACCTTTCCTTTGGGCTTATGCCAGTATTTGCACAGTTGTCATATTTCAAGTAATCAACTCCCTAGACCAAATAAGAACCATCTTAGAATAAGAAAGGTAATGTACGGTAACTTTTTTTTTTTTTTTTCACAAAAGAGCCTGCATGAGGATAAGGAAAGTGATTTTAGATGCTAGAATTCAAATCCTAGACTTGCTCCGGGTTCATAGGGAAACATTTTACAGGGAACTATTGAAACCAAAAAGAAACAAATAGAATCACGCATACCCATAAGGCAAAGCTTTTTGCATCTTGTTCTTCATGTCCTAGGGACCCAGGCATTGTCTTGCTACAAGTTTGTGTCCTAACAGGATAAATAGTGCATTCAAAAAAAAATCTTGAGTCTTGAGGAAAACAAGAAGCTTTCAGAAGAAATCATCTTGTGTGAAAGGAAACTTTTTCTGAGCTTTCAATTTCATTCCTAGTATTTGAACCTAAAAGAATAAATACCCTGCATCAGAGTAAATTCCAAGCTTAAGCCCTTTGCTATGAACATAATCTGCAAGAGCCTTAATGCCTGAAGGAAATGTTGAAGCTTTAGGAACCAAATTCCCCTGACAAAAACACAACACATTTCACCTCCATGATCAACATTAATATTTAGTCATTGCACGGATTTTTGATTCTCTTAAAACCCAAAGAGAGCAGAGTGGGAAAATGTTACGGGAGAATCTCTATTAAGTTCTCCCCAACAATCAATCTAATTAATTGGACAAATATAAAATCCAATAGAAACAATATAAAGCATTAAATCAAATTGTAATTCCAGAATAAGGGAAAGCAATAACCAATTAAGTAATCATAGTACAGCACCAATAATATAGGTGTATTCCAACAGCAAGCTAGACCATTGAGACCCATTGCATCAGCTGCAGCCACCAATAAGTAAGTTCAGGTAATGAAATTCTTTGTCATAATTATCACCGGAGCACATGTTTGTTTTCTTTTCTAGAGAGTGTAGTATTGAAACTCAAGTGATGTTGTTGGTAATCAAGAACTATTCCCGTACCGGTTTCCTTGATCAAATGTTCATTATGGTGGCAAGTGGAAATGGTTTCCAACTATTCCAACCTGATAAAAAAACCAAGAATGTTACAGAGAGCTTACAGATAACGGCTGCATTTGCCAAGAGAAACTGAATTGAAAGAGATAGCTTTAACAAAAGCTTGCCGAGGAAGTAACATGTAATATTGGAAACCTGGAAAACTAGATTTAGCTTGTTCATTACATGAACATTTGTTCTCCTCTTAGGCCAAGCACCTTTTTTTTTTCCATTTTGTTTTTCATGTTTTCATAGGCAGACAGTGTCAACTATGCTTTTTTCAATTGCATAGAATTCGAATCCAGGATTCGCATATAAAAAAAGTGAGATGGACAAAGATTAGGAAAAGAATAAGGGCATCATACCCCATTTGGGGAGTTAAACCAAGGCCATTGTCCAAGAGATTCCTTCTAATTCTAGCGAATCTGTAAGCTCAATATTCCCTACTTGAGGCCCGTTCACGGCAGAGTTGGCCAACACACCAGTGACGATATAACATTACAACCTGAAAATCCAAAAGAAAAACTAGGAAAACAACCAGATTGAGATGATGGAAGCCATTGGAGCTATTCCTATCATCTTGCTGTTGGAAAGGAGAAACCTAGCAGCTAGCAGGCAAGATGAGTCGAGAAAAAAACAAAAAAACACAATGCTAAGGTGCACTTGACAACCCAACATATAAATAAAGATAACCCCCAACGACTTTAATCCTGTAGTATCTTCAAATATAGCTTCCCTCTCTATATATAGGACAGTATTCGGCCTGTTTTATTGATGCTAAGGCTGCGATGAGGGAAGAAGTTCAAACGTCACCCATAGGCAGGGTCTGATCCTAGTGAAGATAAATATAAAAAGGTCACTATCATTTATGAAGGTTCAATTTCTTCCGTAATAGAAGACTCAATCAAAAGGCAAATGGGATGATGACAACCCCAGTTATAACTTACATAAAATAAGTTATATCTAATCTTATTCATGGTTGGGACTTGGGAGGGCAAACAATATATGTCAATGAGCTGGATTCCGGATTTCTTGGAAGTAATAAATCATAGTCCAGGGGGTAGCGATGATTGATCAATTTGTTCTCTGGCACTTGTGCGGCTTGTCCGTGATTGTCCTTGGGCTATCTCATTTTAATTCCGTGATCAAATTGCAAGTGGTTCTTGGCAACAGCAGGTATGATGCTTTATTATTCAATCTCAACATATTTATAACAACTAAATGTCAATGGCACTTGTGTATTCTAACACAATGATAGAAACTAGGTTGATCATAAAAAAAGGAAATAAGCCAGGGTGAACAACTGGCTAGATGTTCAGCTTGGAACGGATACAAATATAACAACATGAAAAGACTGCTAAAATTTTTCAACAGAAGTAGGTAGATACAAGAGAAAAAGGTTGAGCATCGATCCCAAGTGCCTAAACAATTAGGAGCCACAAACTTGACACAAAGTCTTAGAAGCCAGAATCTGAGTGCTCCTCCTATAAATCCCCTAAAATCAAGAGTCAACAAATTAATACATCTGAAGAATGCAAAGTGCCAATATTTCTTTTTTTTTTTTTTGACAACGTATTGAAACTAATTCAAATATATGAAGAAGTAAAATTCATATTCTTCACAGTTCTTTTAGTTGATGCAACGGATTTACAGAAAGCAAACAACCAGGTATCCATCGCCATAGGTGCCAAGCGGAATAATACTGGTTGCAAGTGTGAGCATTTTGCATTTTCTCAGCGGGTAGCCGACTGCTTAATCTGGAGGATAAAAACAGTAGCATATGTAAAGTAGCCATGATAAGCATCCAGAATGAAGTACTAGTCGATTACTTGATCATATTACATCTCTGTTTCTTGTCTTCACTTGATAGACTATTGCATGTAAAATAATTTACTAAAAACATGGTATCGTCGTAAGAATATAAAAATACTCCAAATAAACCCATGCGTTGTCGCTGGTTATTTTTTTTTAATTTATAATAAATAATTTTCATGATTAATTTAATAAATCAATGTGTAAATTTTGCCTTATAGTTTTTTAATAAAAGTATGGTCAGTAAAAATTGATTAATTAATTTGTGTAAAATAATTGCATTTCATTCTCACATTTTATATAATAAATCAAATCTAAATCAATTGTTTAGAATTTATCTTTCAAAACATAATTAAAAAATAATAAAATAGACAATTTTAAAACACAAAAGAAAGTTAAAAAGAAAAAAAAAAAGCCCAAGCAGAGAAAGAGGAAAGAGGAAAAGGGAGCCACATTGGAACGTTACATGGACACTTTCATTTAGTCATAACGACGAACCAGACGGGGTTGATTTTTGCTCGACTAAACTCTGACTCAATTTTTTTTTTTAATAATTTAACTAAGAATGCATTGAGTTATTATTTTTTATATTCGGTTTGACCCAACACATATGTATAACTATATATCATCTAACTTAATTCGAATAGATTAAATAATTTTAATTTAATAAAATGTTTATAAAACTATTATTTTTTGCCAACAATTGCATAATTGTTGATAGAGTACTTAGTTCTTAGTTTCAGTAACAAGAAATCAAATTTTAGTAGCCTAAAGTACAAAAAATGTAAATTATTATTTTTAATATAAATTATATTTTAATTATATATAAATATAATATATTTATTTAATTAAAGTATTAAATAATAATTTGATTAATATAATATATAATTAAATAACTAATAAAAATATATTTTGATATCTAGAAGATGATTGAGATAAAACATTTTAAATCTACCTCTAAATCGAATCCCAAATTTCAAAAAAGAAAATTTGTTTGATTTCAACCTGAATTCAATTTTTATGAATTAAAATCCATAGATACAGATTGTTTTATTATTTATATCTTCACAAGCAATTTTTTTATAAAATTTATCCAATTAAAAAAATGATAAAAACTAAAAAGACCAAAGGGAAGTAAGAAAAAAGCCATACGAGATAACCATATGGACACTACATTTGACCAATATGTTATCAAACATAATTAAAAAAAAAAAAACTAAATAATAATTTAAAATATAACAAAAATTTAACAGAAAGTTAGAACTAAAAATAAAAAGTAAAAAAGAGGCAAAAAAAAAAACTAAAAAATCAAATGAAAATTCCACATTGACACTTTTAATTTCAAAATTCAAATGGATTAAGTCGATTGAATTTATGTTCACTCCGGCACCGACCCATTTTTTTAATAATTGGTTTCTTATTTAGACCGAAATGAGTTGATACCAATCTAATACAGATTTTTGATTAATAATTTTATTGAATATAATATTAAATATATTAAATATATTAATTAATACATAATAAAATATATATCTTTATATATATTTCGAGAGAAGTCAAGGCAAATACCTTAATCCTGCTTTCAAACCCACTCCATTTCTTTTTTTGAAAATTCCAACCCAATTCTTATTAAAAGAATCACTACTTATCAAATTTGAAACTGATCGAAAACCGTCATAAGTAAATTGTTTAGCCATTCCTATTTATCAACTACTTTTGCACCAAAATTTATCTAATTAAAAAATACAAAAAAAACAAAAAAAAGGCAAAAAAGAAAATATCATGTAAACACCTCCGCTGAATTTTTTTTTTTCACAAATTTATCTAATTTAAAATACAAAAAAAAATTAAAAAACTAAAGAGCGCTGCAACCTAAACCTATATTAGAGTCAATCACGATTTAAAAATGACACCACCTGCCTTGCTCTAATCTCAATTTAAAAGTCATTCTTATTAGATCAAAATGAATCGAAACCATAAAAAATAAATTATTTTCTCTTCCTTACCTATATTAACCTTTTTTTTTTTTATAAAATTTATCTAATTTAAAAAACAAAGAATATCGCATAAAGAGAAAAGAAAGTCGTATCAGAGTGTCATTTGGATTCCTCTATTGGCCTCCTTTTCTTATAAAATCTCATATATGGATTTTAATAAAACTAAATTGTAAAAAAACAAAACTTAAAAAAGCAAAACCATAAAAGAAAATAAAAAAAGAAAAGGTCGACAATAAGGGATAAAACAAAATCGGGTATCACATTAACACCTTCATTGGTTTTTTTTTTTTTTTTTTATAAAATTATCTAATTCAAAAAAATAAAAGAAGGAAAAAAATAAAAGTTTTTCAATAAAAAAATTCAAATAGACCCCACTCAAAGTTTCTTAAAAAAATAAATTTATATTATTAAATATGAAAGAAGAAAAGAAGGAAAATAGAAAAAAGAAAAAGAAGAAGAAGAAGAAAAAAAAAAGTCAGCTCATAAGATGTGCCACATGACAAAAAATGAGTAAAATTTATTGTATAAATTGGGTTGAAATTTGATAGTAACATTTCAGACTTACAGTATAATCTTTTTAACCATAAGATATTGTCTAATGCAATAACAACTACTTGCTAGAGATAAATATAGACTCAGGTTAAATCAAATGATAAAGCATTAGAAGTAGCAACTTTCCGCATCATGCTCCTGGAATTATGTTTACTAGAACATAAATTAATCATCAATATGATAATAGAATATATAAAGTTTTCATTTCTAGCAAAGGTTAAATATAAAACATAAGCACTCATCCAATTCCATGACTGAGACATGAACAATCAAATTAAATAGCTTGTCCTGTATTTTGCATTCACATCATCTAATACCTCAACGAGCAAAATGCATATACAAGAATGTACCTGCATTTTACTTTGACTGAGGTGGAATCATTCCTGTTTTCCTTGCATATGCAAAGATCCCTCCAGCCTCAATGACTGGCCCAGCATCCCCAATGGGCTTTAATTTATACTCTTTGCCAGTGTTATGATTGATCAATCGACTCCTCCCCCAATCAATTGTCACCATATCCCCAGTCCTACATTCCTCACATATTCTCACTTCTGATTCTAACGGATAAACTTCCCCAGTTGCAACAGAATTTCCTGAAAAAGATTCTAGCATAAGATTCAGCGACAACTGCCTTTGCCCCAGCAGCCCCAAGTGCAACAGGTGCATGCTCACGCGAGGACCCACAACCAAGTTACACCACCTATCACGATGGAGTATTTTGTCTTAATCTCATTGGGTTCAATTAAAACGTGTAGCATATGATGAAGGGAGACCAATAAGAGCGTATGTGCCCAATTTCTCATACTCGGCTGGGTTTGAGGGAACTAATGTAAAGGTATTCCGGCAGGGAATTATTTGGTCCGTGTCAATATTATCCCCAACCACATAACAAAGCCATGGAAGGTTGTAGTCGAGGCGTCAGAAGGAACAGAGGAGGGTGAGGTGCGGCATATGTTGTGATGGTGGTCACACGTGCAGGATGTGGTTGTGAAGGTAGAACTTAGGGGTTTGACAGTCAAAGGGAGAAGGGTGGGGACTTTGAAGGACAGGGGGGAAGAGAGGAGGTGGGGAGACTGAGGTTTTGGATGCCTAAGGGAGGAGAAGGTGGCTGAGTATGAGCGTGAGACAAAGAGTCACACATTATTAGAATTTCGGTGTAATACAGTTCTAATACAAAGATGTGATGATGTGGTGGGTTTTTGCTGTGAGGGTATGCTTGATGCCAACTTTCAATTTCACGCAAGGTAACATAAAGCCAAGTGTAGAGTTTTCTGTTAAGGCAACGGAGTTTATGTAAGGAACTGATTAGCATAATCAGACAGTAGAATTGGAGAAATATTTTCCACATAGACGATATTAGCAAGATATACATAATAATAATAATAATACATAAAAATGTATAAATACTTCATTACAATGTCTGCCACATGTACATAATATGTTAAAAAAAATTTCCATGTAAAAACAATTAAACGGGCAGAATTAATCTACTGAAATTTAAACCACATTGATTAGTATTTATTTTCTTTTTTGCTAAAAGAAAACCTAGGGTAACCATTCTTAATAAGAAAACTACCATGACATTAAATTGGTCTGGTTCTTTCCGAGCCCCTCTCTCTGCCTCTCACTCGGTAACCAAAAGATAGTAAAAGTTCAAAATTTTGAAACTTGATGCTTCAGTGTTCAAATCCATATTTGCCAACGTTTGGTTTGATGATCGTAAGAAATTGTGAAGGCAACCTCCCCTCAAAGATGAGTAGTGCACAAACAAAATTAAATTCCCGACAAATTTCATGGAATTAAGTATATTTCGAAAATTCACTTATTATGTTCTTCTCAATATCGTCGTTATTCTAATCCGAAACCTATCAAGAGCCATTATGAAATGACTTCAACTAGTGAATGGAAATTAACTTTAACCCCAACAAAAAATTGCAACCAGTTCATTAGATACAAAAGGGTAACGGAGAGCAAGAAAAAACATAGTAAAGGGCAAGAGTAGTAACAACATAACCTAAAGATTCGTCATTCAGGAGATTCAAATAAGTCAAGAGACAACATCAGAGACAGGAAGCGGAAAGATGTTAAATCAGGAATTAGGAAAATTGTCTATAAAACCCAAATTCAATCAGATTATACATATATACTATCAGCAGTGGGACAACCTAAATTCATGTTATATTATCGAATCGCTCAAGCATCCACTCATTCATATGAAGCTTCCTATGTAAAACTACCAAAATTTAAGGATAAAACATAGAAATTAACAAGATTTCAAAGAGACTGTATCACCATAAAGAAGAATAAAAAGGAGATGGAGAAAAACAAGGGGCGACGAAGAGTAAAGGAATACCTTTGATCAGGGCGCTAATGATCACGGTAGCTTGGACGGTGGATATGGGTTCAAAAAGTAAAGTCGGTGAATGGCGGGTCT